ATTCGAACCTACGTAGAAATATAACCTTCAACAGATTTACAGTCTGTYGCTTTTAACCACKCGGCCACTCTCCCGAAGAATTCAGCATCCTACAGGATTTAAACTTGTGACCTTCAACTTAGAAGGTTGTTTTTGTTGGAGTTCACCGACTCATCAGACACTGATCTATATATATCGTCAAATAGAACTGCCCGGTAAACCGTAGGCAGAGAGGGAGAAGAGGACAACAAACGAGGGGCTGTGACAAACTGTTTCGTCGGAGTTTCACCGACTCATCAGGAGGCACTGATCTATATATATATATCGTCAAATAGAACTGCCCGGTAAACCGTAGGCAGAGAGGGAGAAGAGGACAACAAATGAGGGGCTGTGACAAACTGTTTCGTCGAACGTTCGGGGGGCCCCGGGCTGGCCCCCCGAACGTTCGGGCNTGGGGGGCCTGGCATTCGGACCCCGAACGGGACCCCGAACACCCTTACGTACGAAGGTCGGCCCGGGGACCTCCGTAGGTACGGGTTGGTGACCCTGGATATATATATATGTGACGATATATATATATATATGGCCCCCGAACGTTCGGGCGTTCGGGGTCCCGTTCGGGGGCCGAACACCTCCAGGTTCGGCCCCCGCCAAAAAAACTTTCGGGGCCTAAAAATAAGTTTTTTTTTCTGAATTTTTGTTTGCGAGTTCTCTATGATGTAACCTACACGCCTACAAATTGTGAAGCCATTCTGCTAGGCCAAAAAAACATTAAAAATCGTCAAAGATAGGGGTGTCAAAACGTGCTCGCCCACTCACTATTTGTTTTTTATCACTTTTAACTTTTTGTTTTCACTTTAGATCGGGGCCTAAAACATTTTATTATTTTTTGAAATATTTTTAACGAGTTATTGATTATGTGAACTACACATCTGTAAATTTTCAGGGCATTTGTCAATGCAAAAAAAATAATTAAAAATCCGCAAAGATGGCGGTGTCGAAAAGGTGCTGGCACACTCACTCATTTTAATTCTCTTTTTATTTTTTCTTATTTTTATCATAGTGTTTATTTTCTGCATTTGATTTTTAATTCAAATTTGGTAAAGAATTTGGATGTAGTGCCCAGGCAAATGTTGTTTAGTTTAGAGAGAGAGAGAGAGAGAGAGAGAGAGAGAGAGAGCATCAACAATCAGACTTTGAATCCCAATCTACCAGTCAGGGACAGAGATCATTTTCTTATTACTCAAACGACTGTTATAATTTTTCCCTTACAGACAGAAAACGCAAGTCTATCATATGGACCAAGGATGTCAAATCATGCCACCAAATCACGAGCTAACATCTAAACCCCTTCTCCAGGAAGACAGTTGTACAAAACATGCTGCAGAAGTTCTTCCGAGCAGAGCTTAGAGCTCGCATAGAACCATAGTGTGTAGGGCAGGGTTGCATAACCGCTAGCCACCTACCTCGACCGCCGACCGTTTTGCAGCCTACTGGTAGGGATGTCGAGACGACTGGTCAGCGGTCTGACGACCAGTCAGTTAACAGCCATCCACTGATTTTGTTAATAATCTGACTGTGGGGCTATACTGCACTAGCTGAGTACAACCTGAATCCACTGAGAAACTTTTGGGGATGGGGAGTATATAGGGGGTACAGAGGGTATTGGGGGAAGGAGGGGAGGGGTATGAGGGTGGTTAGGGGGTGTTGGGGGGCTGTATGAGGGTGTTGGAGGGGGTAGGGGGTGCTGGTTGGGTTATTGGGGTTATGGAGTCCCAGAACATTTTTTTTTTTTTTTTTACAGGGTGCCGACGACAGCCGATCGGTTAGCTGGTCAGCATCCAACCAATCAATGGGGGCCAGACGTCGGCCTGTGCAAGTCTGGTGTATGGTAATAAATTGACTCACATCTGGATTTAAGAGCTCCTTATTGGAGTGATGTAACTTTCTTTGCCGACATGTACATGTGCAAGAGCATGAACATGCACACACACACACACACACACACACACACACACACACACACACACAATCAGTTTTATGTCTGTCAGTCTTTCTCCTGTTGTCTGTCCTCCCTCTGACTTTTCCGAGTATTATAGTTTTTTGTGTGCCCAACTGAGCGCCCTTAAGTAGTGCCAAACAGTCGGTGGTTCCTCGTTTGGAGTGCCTACTGCACTCTTAGGGGTGGCACTCGGTTCAGGATGTCTGCGTTCCCTGTGGGTGATGTAGGTGTTGGGGGGCTGTATGAGGGTGTTGGAGGGGGTAGGCGGGTGTTGGTTGGGTTATTGGGGTTAAGGAATCCCAGAACGTTTTTTTTTTTTTTTTTGGGGGGGGGATGCCGACGACAGCCGACCGGTTAGCTGGTCAGCATCCAACCAGTCAATGGGGGCCAACCGTCGGCCTGTGCAAGTCTGATGTATGGTAATAAATTGACTCACATCTGGATTTAGGAACTCCTTATTGGAGTGATGTAACTTTCTTTGCAGACATGTATATGTGCAAGAACACACACACACACACACACACACACACACACACACACACACACACACACACACACACACACACAATCAGTTTTATGTTGTTGGTCCTCCTTCTGTTGTATGTCCTCCCCTTKATTTTTTCTAAGTCTTTTTGTGTGCCCAATTGAGCACCCTTAAGTAGTGCCAAACACTCGGTGGTTCCTCGTTTGGAGTGCCTACTGCACTCTTATGGGGGCTGCTCGGTTCGGGATGTCTGTGTTGCCTGTCGGTGATGACGGATGTTCGTCGGAGTGACTCCCTGGCTCAGTGGGTGGTGGGAACCAACAGTCTGCGGGGTTCTATCATGACGTGAGTAGGTCATGTGCTGCTTTGCTCCGTGTTGGATGCGTGGACGTCATCGACTGCTTTCCGCCGCTGCCCTGCTGCTTGTCCCGCTTGCTTTGCGTGTGGTTCTTTGCGGGTTGATGTGTTCGCTGTGCGGTGTGGCCGTATTGTTGGTGTTGCCTTGCGCTTCGCTGCTCCGCTGCCGTGCTGCTCATCCGTTGGTTGTGCCTTCCGTGCTTACCGCTTGTGTTCCCTGTAGGTTGGTTGCCTTGTTGCTGGTGCCTTGTGCTCCGCTCCACGGTTGCCCAGCTGCTGGGTCATTCGCCCTGTTGTCCCCTGCAGTGTTGTTGCCTTGCTTGTGTTGCCTTGTGCTTCACTACACGGCTGCCGCGCTGTGTGCCATGTCGTTCCTTGCAGTCGTTTTTGGCGTTGTGCAGCCGTGTTGCCTGGTGCTTCACAGGGTTGCTGCCCGCTGCTATGTTCCTCTTGAGGACAGTCTGCCTTCAACAAGGGTCAAAGGGTTCATGACCCAACCATCAAATACTGGGATTCCGCAGATTGTCGAGGGTTCAGCCTCCTGATGAGTCGGTGCAACTCCGACGAAACAATCTATCATCAGTTTTTATTTTTTATTTTTTGCGCTTTGTGTTTTTCTGTTACTTGATCTGTTGTCTACTTTGTTGTCTTGTTGCCTTACTGCTTCTTGACTTCCTGTCTGTGGTTTCACCCCAATTATGGGTGCTTTGATTTCTCCTGTGGTATGGATTGTTCTGTGCAAAAGTCTTGAGGTCTTTCTTCTTAGGCAATCGTGTATGCATGCCCTGTTACGCTGCTTGCCGCGTTCGCGGGGCTCTATTTATTTCAACACACACACACAATCAGTTTTATGTCTGTCAATCTTTCTCCTTTTGCCTGTCCTCCCTTTGACTTTTTCTGAGTATTATAGGTTTTTGTGTTCCCAACTGAGCACTCTTAACTAGTGCCAAACAGTCGGTGGTTCCTCATTTGGAGTGCCTACTGCACTCTTAGGGTTGGCGCTCGGTTCGGGATGTCTGCGTTGCCTGTGGGTGATGACGGATGCTCATCGGAGCGACTCCCTGGCGCTGTGGGTGGTGGGAACCAACAGTCTGCAGGGTTCAATTGTGATGTGAGTAGGTCATGTGCCGCTTTGCTCCGTGTTGGATGTGTGAAATGCTCCACCGCTGCCTTGCTGCCTTTCCCGCTTGCTTTGCATGTGGCTGTCTGCAAGCTACTGTCGTCACTGTGTGTTGTGGTCGTGTTGTTGGTATTTCCTTGCGCTTCGCTGCTTCGCTACCTTGCCGCTCTTCTGCTGGGTGTGCCTTCCGTGTCCTTTGCTTGCACACCTTATAGTTCAGTTGCCCTGTTGGTGTTGCCTTGTGCTTCACCGCATGGTTGCTGTACTGTGCATCCACTCGTCCCTTGCAGTGTATTTTGGACAGAACTGGTACCTAGAATCAAAGGGTGTTACAAGAATGGTAGACCGAAGTAGGCCATCTCCTCATTTAGAGAACTGGGCCTGAATTTTTGAATTCTTGGATTTTGGTCTCTGGACAGAACTGATAGACAGTGGTAGACTGAAATAGGCTCTCTCCTCGAAGGGTGTTACAGACAGTCCAAGCGTTGGTAAGTACCCACCGGACAAGGGTAAGATACACAATTTTCTTGAGGGACCTCCATAGGAGGAGGGGTCAGGTACCTGCTCTTATGGTTTCCGTTTTTTTTCAGAAGTCTGCCTGTGGAACAGTAAGCCCGCCAAAGAAAAGCAGACCAGAAGATATCACTGCCAATCCAAGAGGATACGACCAAGACTAAAAAGACGAATGATGATGCGGCGCCTACACCCAGAAGCTGGACAACACAGCAACGAAGGACAGGCATACGACAGAGACAGGGCAAAAAAGTCACACGACACTCGTGCTCAAATGCTTGACATGCACAGAGAGGACGTATCCAGTTTTTTCCTCAAATTGCAAGGAAGATGAGTGATAGCGAACTCCAACAATCAAACAGCATCATACATATGAGTCCAGATAGTCTTGACCTCGAACCAAACGCAGAATTGCATCACGAGATACACCAAATAAGAACACACCAAGAGTTCATCATTGACAATGCTGTAGTCCCATCATCATCAGCGAAGAACCAGAGTTGATATCCTATTGGCGCTCGGCGCCCAGACTACATGTGGCAGATCCTATCTAGCCTATACTACGAAGMAGAATGATGACATCAACAGCGTTCCCGAAGTACGAGCATATGGCGACCAATGTCGCATGCTTCAACACCAGGTATGTCTTGCGCTACCCTCACAACCTCGTTCCCCAACTCACAGATGCCACTAGCACCCAAGGACCACCCGGCGCTTCACCCAGCAACCAGCAGCGCAGCTTGGCTATGGCTGTGTGCTCCTTCCCTGCTCCCCCGTGAGAGCGTAGGTGCCAGCCAGCAAATAGCGCAGCAGCAGCGCTTGCGCAGCATGCAGCCAGCTCCCGAATACCAAATGAGGAGGCAGGCCCTTCCCTATATCGAAGTGGCCTGCCTGCGTCCAGTCCAGGAAGCTTCCAGTAGGCCCCGGTAGCCTGAGGCCCAGTCACGAAGAACGCAGGCCTTGGGCCTGAAGTGGTTGCATGTGCCCAACTGCTTTCGGCCTGTGCTTGGCCCGGTACCCGTATCCAGCCCAGGGCCTGCTTTACATTCATTCACACAGGCGGCCCAGGGCCTGAGTTCATTCAACCAACTGGCGCTGCGCAACTGCCTGAATTTCCCCAGTTGCGGGGTACCCTGAAAAACGAGGCCCTGAGGGCCTGTCGTGCCTGCCTTCACTTAGGGCGGCCGACCTTGCTGCAAATAAGGGCCCGTAGGGGCTAAGCGGGCGTAGCCTCGCAAAATATTTCCTCTCAAATATTTTCTTGAATAATGTTTTTGGTTATTTTCTGCATTTTGTCGTTTTATTTTATCCGAGTCTACTTGGGAAATGTGTTCTCACGACACAGGATCTGAGGGAGACTAGTGTTTTTGGAGAGTATTTAAAGAGTATGAAGCTAGAGCTTCGAAGCAGACTGAGCAGCATGAGGTAGGAGGTCTGTTGCGTGGGAATTCCCATCACACTTACAATGTGGTTACTCTGTGAGATTAAAACCTCGACTACATTTTTTTGAGTATTCATCTCTTGGTTGAGCCGGGCGAACGACTCTGCAGTTCGCTGAGGATCGCTCACCCGGCGCCATACCTATTGGCTCATGTATGCGATCTTTGCTTCATCGAGTACGCCTGAGCATGGTACCCTGTTGTTTTTTTTTACTATTATTATCATTATCATTGAAGTTGCATTCAATAAGCTCGTTTTCTGATTTGGGACTTCGATCCATTGAGGATTGTTGATCAATTCACCAGGATCACGCTCCTCTCTGAACTGTGAAGGGGCGTATTGAAGCGAGCGTTGCGTTGTGGAGACTTCCAAGACCCCAAGACACATCGAAGGAGTGGATTTGGACGACAGGAGACTACAAGGAGCTGTATGCAACGAGGTGGACGGGGTAGAGGGAGAGGCAGGGGTAGGTGGTCAGGGGACAGGAGATATTGGATGGAATACCAGGCGACACCACCGGTTAATCCGGCTGTTGTCCCGGTGCAAATCCAACTCCTACAAGTGTACCCAACCAGGTTCAACAACCTGTTGGGTACCTCCCTCCACCTGTGTATCCATATCCTTGGATGCAGCAACCCCCACCTCCGCCCCCGCCGCCTACACACAACTGGAACTACGGACAACATGGATACGTGCAGATGACAAAGCCAGCGGCCAATGCTTTTCCGGGTCCAGGAAATCGCGCTTGGTTCACACGCGAGCACTTGGAATTGATAGAAAAATGAAAAAGCAGGGAAGCAAGCAATGAGAAGAAGAAGGACGAATCGGGAGAAAGTAGTAAGAGCACAGGCACGAGGAAGGGAAAGACGAAGGCTAGCACCAGCTCAGAAGACGGAGAGAACAACTTGAGAAACTGGCTTGCGGAGAATTCTGGGGTCTCTCTAAAATGGATCTCAAAGAAGCTGAATGCCGTCGACAAAAGGACAAAGGAAGTTGATCGGCAGAACGAGATGCCAGCTAAGAAGATCGAAGATCTCGAGAGTGCTCCGAAGAAAGGAGAAGCAAGCAGCAACAAAAAGAGGAAGTGTGTCGTCGACGCGTACTCACCTGCTACCGAGCGGCAGAAATCTCGATCAAGATTGAGGAGTGGTGGGATTAAGACTAGACAACCACGGATAGAAGTCTCCTCGGATGAAGACGTCGAGAACGGGCGTGCGCAGAACGCTATCATTGAAGGACCTCCTCCGGAGAACAAGCCTTCTCTGAGCACAGTAAACCTGGAAGATGTGATGAAAATGCTAGCGATCATCGCTGGCAAGACGGACCAGGACAGGAGAATAGCAAAGCGGGATTAAAGATGGAAAGCGGATCAGGCGCGAAGACGAGCCGCGGATTGACAAATGTATCCATGGAGGATAATAGTGAAGGTTCAGACGAGGAAGAAGAGAGAAACTGAAAGTGAATCGAGGAGGACCAGGAGGAAGGGCGGAAGTAGGGATAGTGGAATACATGAGGCAAAGGTTAGACCACTACATGGAGATGACTAAGATGAAGATAAAGGCACTATGCCTGAAGAGAGATGTAAAGGGAGAACGAAAGGACAAAAGCGCGTGGGAACTGGCGAAACAAGATACTGAGGAGTTTACGAAGTTGATCCACGGCGGCACCGAAGAAGAGGAAAGGGTAGAATCAACGCCAGAAGAGGATGAAGAAGAGACCAACGGATCGGACAACGAAAACAGCCAGGAAGATGTCCAGGGGAACTAGGACTCTCCAAGAGGAGCATGCTGCGCTCCCTCAGACGAATAAGCAATTCACGACGTCAGATGGGGAACTTAAAAGCGACCTGCAGACAGCTTTTAGATTGGGTTCAATGCTAGCTGCACTTCTAGGATATTATAGCTGGGGGCGGACTTACATTAAGTATTGGGTGAATCTCGCTCTTGAACGTGTTGATTTTGGGAAGGTAGATACGCGTGTCTATGTTTTTATATCTCCTTTTTGCAAACAGACGTATGTTGTACAGACCAATAGGAAACTGAATGATAGATGGAGGGAACACATTTATGCAACAGATAGGGAACTGGAGTACAAAGTCCACAAATGGTTGAAGAAGAAAGGAGCGCACACATATTCAATTATCCTGCTGTGAAAGGCCTCTGCTATGGATCTAAAAAATGCTGAGTCTCAAATTATCAATAGCGAGAATCCTTGCCTCAATATGAGGAAGTACAAAAGGAAAAACAAACCAAGACCCGCGAGAAAAAAGCTAAAGAAGTCCAGCGAAACAGGAATATGGAAAACGATCTCATTCTCTTCCAACCTCCCGAATGATCAGGACACTGTGAATTTGTTGAATATCCTTAATAGTGCTAAGGGTACCCGAAGGCCCATCTCAATTAGAATAAAAGGGCCTTTACCCGATATAGGCCTCAGGCCTTGTAAAAATAGAGCAGCACGGGCCTTGTAAAAGTAAAGCATTGTGAAAAGGTATCTCGCCAGGGCTCAGAAACGTGAAAACAGGTCGAAAGTCAAGTTCTCTATCAACAGGCACATCTAAATCTAAGGCAAAGGGCATTGTCAAAAGACTTACCTGTTCACC